GCTGGTGCAGTTTTCATTTTTTTTTTTTTTTTTTTTTTTTAATGACAACATTATAAATTAATAAGTTTATAATGTATATAAGTTATAAAATTATAATTATAAGTTTTATAAGGTAACTTATAAGTTTGTAACTTATAAGTTATAAGTTATTAAGTTATGAATTTTATAATTATAAGTTGAATATTTATGTTTTATAATTTGTATATTCAATGTTTATATTTATATATTTACTTTATACTATTACTTTAAAATTTAATGTTTATGATTTATTAGTAATTGGTATAATTTTATTTTATTTTAATATGAATTTACAAATTGTAACAAAACGGGGAAAAAAGGCAAATTGGAATTTGGATGTGAATAATGCGTACTTTATATTATTATTACTTGAGTTGAGAAAATTGTACAATGATAACAATGATAAAAATCATACAATGATGGTATTAAACAAAAATTGGAAAATGATAAAATTGATATTTTTAAAATCGTACAATATACAATAATTGTCTATTCTTCTTCTCCTTCTTCTTGCTCGTCTTCGTCTTCGTCTTCGTCTTCGTCTTCGTCTTCGCCTTCAAGGTCATCGGCTAGTTGCATAGATTGGGAACTAGCCGAACCCGAACCGGAAGCGGAGGTTCCTTCTTCGTTGTCGTTGTGGTCGTAAGAACGGTTTTGTGAGCGATTTTCCGCATCCAACCAATCTTTGAAACACACGCACATTTCTAGTGTTTCGGGTTTTAGACTTGTTCTTCTATCGTCTAAAACCCTTCCGGATGCGCTGAAAGCTCGTTCGGAGGCGACGGAGGAAACTTGGATAGCAAGAATGTCTCGTGCCATTGCCGCCAAAGTTGGATGCTTCGAGCTTTGTTGTTTCCACCATGCAAGGAGGTCGAGGCTGTTTATCTCATCGTCGTCCATGCCTTTCGTGAAGTCGTAACTCAGGTACATCTGCAACTCCGAGACGTCGCTTTGCGTTCTCCTGATTGATGAATCACCTGAAAACCTTGAAATCAAGTTAGTAGCTTGTGAAAATAAATGTTTGGCCTTCTTACTTACGTTTTTGGATGGTTGGGAAGGCCCTGAGCGAGGAACGGTGCCATATTTGGCTTCATAGACTCTATATAAAGCAAAAAACTGATCCTTCACATTAGTCTTATAGTTTTCTACATCATCGTCAAGAAACATGCATTGAAAGTAAATGTCAACTAACATAAATGTGTTTTCATACTTTTGCCTAGGATCTAATATGGAAGCAAAAATATAAATCAAAGGAATCTCACTATAATATTTACGCCACTTTTTTTCCATTGCTGGAAGATACTGATCATAATCACTTTGATCGCGATGATCAGCGAAAAGTTGGGCGAGTAAGCATGCATTAGAAAGAAAGTTTTGAGCACAAGGATTGTAAACAGTAGAAAAACAATACGTCATGTTATATAATAACTGTAAAAATTGCATATATCTTTCACAGTTTTTCCAATCATCATCATACAAAGCATTTTGTGGAAATTTTTGGTTGTAAAATAATGTTAACGGGCCCTTGTACTCAATTGCCTTTGTTAACATGTCATAGGTGGAATTCCACCTAGTTGGGCAATCGGTTCTAATTTTTATTACCCTTATCTTTTGTTGTTTTAGAAAACCCTTCCATTCTTGGTATCTCATGTTAGAGCTATTAATAGACATAATAGCATCTCTGATTTTGCTGTAGTATGGGCCAATTGCCCGAACTCCATCCTGTACACATAAGTTAAGTACATGGCAAACACATCTAGTATGAAGAGCTTCACCGTCTAATAGTACATCGGTTAAGTTTTGTTTGATAAGATTAGCTGTGTATGTCATAGAGGTTGCATTATCAAAAGTCATAGACATCATTTTATCTCGAAGGTTGTATTCGTCTATTGCTTGCATTAAATGGTGAGCAATGTTAATGCCGGTGTGTGGGTATTCCAGCATTTTGAAATGTATTATTCTTTTTTGTAACATCCATTGATCATCTACCCAATGGCAAGTCACACATAAATAGTGATATTTATAACCACTATCCCAAGAATCGGCTGTTAAAGATACTCTACAGTTAAGGTTACTCAATTCGGCTTGTAACCGGACTTTGTACTCTAGGAAATTTTTCATTGCGGCGGAACGAACGGTTTTCCTAGAGATTCTTTTATGTTGGGGTTGTAGTGCTTTGTTAATGTAGGTGTTGAATGCGTCACTTTCCGAGAAAAGAAAAGGTTGTTCGGCGTGTACTATCATTTTTCCTAGTTCATCCCTATCCCTCTCATAGTTGTATGTAAAGCCGTATGGATGGAATTGGGAAATTTTGGGCTGGGTTGGATCACTAGCTAGTTTTGCACAAGCTTTCATGTGTCTAGATAAGTGTCCCGTCCCGTTTTTGGTAACTGCCGTGAATACACTATTACATGTTTTACATTTTGCCCATTGTTCACCATCTTTACTTAGGACAAAATAACGCCATACCTCACTCCTTCGGTTTTTCAAAAGTAGCATCTCAGTTTCGGTTAACCATTCATGATGTGTGTGATGGTTAGTAGTGGGACTAGTGGGAGTGGCAGTAGAAGGGGTAGAACCGGAGGGAATTCGGGTACTTTCTTGGCTACCTTGGCTAGAACAATAGTTTTGTTGATTACCGATATAATTAGGTGGAAATTGGTACGGTGGTAGTGGAAATTGGTTTAGTGGTGGTGCTGGAAATCCCGACGTATTATATGGCTCATAGCCCGGGGGGAAGTAAATGGGGTCATTGGTTTGACTCGTAATTTGGGGGCTCGTTGTATTTGGTGGTTCCCTAGAACTACTACTACGGATAAGTCGGCCTTTCCCCCTAGACCTAGATGATGGGTTGTTCGATGCCATAATTAACAATTAATTTTTTAATAAAAAGTGGTTAACTATAATAATAATAATAATTAATAACAACAATTTTAACAATAAAAATATCAATAATATTAATTAATAACAACAACTATAACAATAACAATAACAACAAAAATAAATAATAACAAGAATTGTAACAATAATAATAATTAATAACAACAATTATAACAACAACAATAACAATTAACAACAATAATAATTAAACAAGATTATTCTAATAATAACAATAAAACAATAATAAATTTAAGATTAGTTTAGATCTTACAACCGTGCTTCAACGCTCCACTAATTACGATTACGAACTTTTTAATTTTTTTCGATATTAGGAAAATAATTAGAGAATTTAAGAGAATAATTAGAGAATTTAAGAAAATAAGGATTATTAGAGATTTAGAGAATATAAGAGATAAGAAGAAGAGATTGTGATTTTGTGATTTGGGAATGAAATGGAGGTGAGTATTTATAGAATTTTTGGCAAAAAACTAGCCGTTTTATAGTCGTTGGCCCGCGGGCCAGCACGGCGGGCCATGCCCGTGCTCGTGCCGGGCCGTGCCTGGGAATTCTCAACCGTGTCCGTGGCACGGCCCGTGGCACGGAAGTTGAACTTCGTGTCGTGCCGTGCTTGACTTCGGGCCGTGCCGGGCTGCGCCGAACGGCGGGCCGTGCCGGGCGGCACGCGGGCCAACCCGGCCCGTGCCCAGGTTTACTCGTGCATTTTATGGGCCAAAACGTACTAAAAGTAGAAAAAATTTGTCCCAAACAACTTATGAATATGTGCGTGCTAGAGTTCGTATAAAAAAAATGTGCGTGATAGTCCGATAGAGTTACTAAAAGAAAAAGATTTCATTTTCTCTCGTCAAAGTATAAGGAAATACTAAACACCTAACAGTAGGGAGTACCTCAAACACATATCATGATATATTTTGTTATTTTTTTTAATAAAATAAATTAGAGTTATTATCTTCGAAATTATAGTCGGCTAGGATATGTGGACCTTAAGTCCACAATAATATTATTGAAACCACGTCAATGTAAGTTTTTTCTTTTTGTTAAAGTACCAACGATGGTATATATATTGATATTGTAAAATCTTTTAATAAAATCCATAATAATATTATTGTAAATCAGGTTCATGCAAGTTTTTTTTCCCTTTTTTTACAATGCCAATGATGTATAATGATATTGTAAAATTTTTAAATAAATTTTTTTAAATAATGTTAAAAATATTTTTTACTTGTACAAAACATATACATATAATGGTATAGTTACATATTTCATTTTGGCAAATTGGCCAATGCATAATTTCAAATACTACTCCTTCTATTAATAAAATAAACAATGAGACAAATAAAACAACACCTCTTTTGACTATATTCTCTCTTATAAATTAATGAGAATGTCAGTCAAAATTTTTAAAGTTTGACCAAATCATATGCAATGGGGTAAAAAAAAATGATAGAGGGAGTAATATCTTCAATTATAAATACAATAAAAAAAATTAAAAAAAATTGATATTTGGTAAACAGACGTTGAGATAAATCAAAGAAAACCCACTCGACTATGTTTTTTGTTGAAGATAAATCACAATGAAGTCAATTAATGTAACTTATTTAAAAATTGATGAAAGTCAAACGTGTCAACTAAAATAAAACATATGAAATAATACAATACGAGTACAGCGTACAAATTAATATGTAAATTAATTTGTACACATTTATATATACAAATTATACCACTCCAATCCATATATATACCAATGTGAAACTTCAAAGAACCATTGAAATTCGTATCCTCCTATTTTTCTAACAAAGAGTACACAAAAAATAAAAAAACCATTGAATTCTAGTAATTAATGTAAAATAACCAGTACGGAATACAGCTTGGGCTGGTATGGTATTGTGACAAAACATATTGGGTTGATGTATGTGCATTGTACATACCCTAACTCCTTGTTCTTAATATATAAGCACACCTCCGATCCTTTCCACTTGTAAACCAGTGCTTTCAAAGTTGTCTTCTAACTAATAACTTTACCACTTCTCAATAAGCTAATAAAACTCGTAAGTTAACTAACTTGTTTAGCTTTACTTTATATCATGGCTGCATTGTCGCCCACGGCTGCGCTGTTCAAGCCAGTGCCAGAAGTACTCAAAGACGAAGGTGTGCCGAGTAGATACATCAAGCACAATGATGAAGACACACAAGAAGATGGTGATGCTCATGTTCTCCTTCCTATGATGGATTGTCCAATAATTGACCTCGCTCTCCTTTTATCATCTCCTCAGGAACTTGCCAAGTTTCACTCTGCCCTTAATTCGTGGGATTGTGTTCAGGTTCAAAAATAATAGTCACATATACTATTTTGATACAGTTTTATATATACTATCCATATATGAACATGAAATAATTTTATTCCAAATTTATATGTATGAACTACGTCGTAGTATAATTTGCCTAATGTAGAGTTATGCATGTTCACGTGGAATTTAGGTTGTCAATCACGGCATGACTAGGTCATTTCTTGATGAGGTACGAGGAGTCATTAAGCAATTTTTCGCACTGCCAACAAATGAAAAGGAAAGGTACTTTTGCAAAGGTAATATACTCCGTACTTTATAATTTAAATAAAATTTAGAGATTATACATAAAAGTATTTATGATGAATGATGATCATGAAGTGATTAACACATTTTACCCATTATATATTATCTATACTTTATACTCTTTTGTTTCTTTACTTAGATTTCAAGCTAATTAAGTCAAAAAAATAAATAATAAATTAAAAAAAAAAATTGGAGAAATAAACAAAACTATTGGCTTTCTTTTCATTTTAATCCCAACCATATTTTAAATCAGAATAATCCCAACTATAGGTGGTCCCTCCTCAAATTAGTTTCAGATAGTAGTAGTAGTAGTAGCCTTCTCAAATTAGTTTCAGATAGTAGTAGTAGTAGTAGTAGTAGCCTTCTCAAATTAGTTTCAGATAGTAGTAGTAGTAGTAGTAGCCTTCTCAAATTAGTTTCAGATAGTAGTAGTAGTAGTAGTAGTAGCCTTCTCAAATTAGTTTCAGATAGTAGTAGTAGTAGTAGTAGCCTTCTCAAATTAGTTTCAGATAGTAGTAGTAGTAGTGGTGGTGGTGGTGGTGGTGGTGGTAGTAGTGGTAGTAGTAGTGGTAGTAGTAGTAGTAGTAGTGGTGGTGGTGGTGGTGGTGGTGGTGGTAGTAGTAGTAGTAGTAGTAGTAGTAGTAGTGGTGGTGGTAGTAGTAGTAGTAGTAGTAGTGGTAGTAGTAGTAGTAGTAGTGGTAGTGGTAGTAGTGGTAGTAGTAGTAGTAGTAGTAGTAGTGGTAGTAGTAGTGGTAGTAGTAGTAGTAGTGGTAGTAGTAGTAGTGGTAGTAGTAGTAGTGGTGGTAGTAGTAGTGGTGGTAGTGGTGGTAGTGGTAGTGGTAGTGGTGGTAGTAGTAGTGGTGGTAGTAGTGGTGGTGGTGGTAGTAGTGGTGGTGGTAGTGGTAGTAGTAGTAGTGGTGGTGGTGGTGGTAGTAGTGGTGGTAGTGGTAGTAGTAGTGGTGGTGGTGGTAGTGGTGGTGAGTGGTAGTGGTAGTGGTGGTGGTGGTAGTGGAGGTGGTAGTAGTGGTGGTAGTGGAGGTGGTAGTAGTGGTGGTAGTAGTAGTGGTGGTGGTAGTAGTGGTGGTGGTAGTAGTAGTAGTAGTGGTAGTAGTAGTAGTAGTAGTAGGAGCAGGAGCAGGAGCAGTAGTAGCAGTAGCAGGAGTAGCAGTAGTAGGAGTAGCAGCAGCAGTAGTAGTAGCAGCAGTAGTAGTAGCAGCAGTAGTAGTAGTAGGAGCAGGGCAGTAGGAGCAGGAGCAGCAGCAGCAGCAGGAGCAGCAGCAGCAGTAGGACCAACAATAGTAGCAGCAGTAGCAACGGCAGTAGTAGTAGCAGTAGTAGCAGTGGCAGTAGTAGCAGTAGCTTAGCAGTAGGACCAGCAGTAACATAGCAGCAGCAGTAGCAGTAGCAGTAGTAGTAGTAACAGGAGCAATAGCAGCAGTAGCAGCAGCAGCGCAGTAGTAGCAGTAGCTTAGCAGTGTAGGACCAGCAGTAACATAGCAGCAGCAGTAGCAGTAGTAGTAGTAACAGGAGCAGTAGCAGCAGTAGCAGCAGCAGCAGTAGTATCAGTAGCAGTAGCAACAGCAGCAGCAATAGGAGCAGCAGTAGTAGTAGGAGTAGCAGTAGTAGTAGCAGTAGGAGTAGTAGTAGCAGTAGGAGTAGGAGTAGGAGTAGGAGTAGTAGTCGTTTCCGTTTTACTTAGTTGACACCATTTGACTTTTACACTATTCACTAACTATACTTTGACTAGTATTTGTGGTTTATATCTATAAAAAAAATAGTCAAGTGGAATCTTAGCTTGTTTGAATCGTCTTAATGTATATTTGATTAAAATCCATTGTTTATAATTTTATAATGTCAAGATTTAGAGATATTAAGCGTTAAAATAGTGCATTGGCAAGCGCAAAATAAAGAAAGGTGTCAACTAAACAAAAGAGGTAGTATGATTTTATAACTTTATGTAGAACTATCAATCGGGTCGGATTAGGGGTCATTTCAAGTCGAGTCACTTCAGATTACGGGTCAAAAAATGTTCACACTAGCACAAAGTTTCAGGTTCGGGTCAACTGAAGAGGCTTAGAAATGATTTTGATTTGCTTTTATTTTGGTTAATTTTTAAAAATTTCTAATATTTCAAACTTACTTTGCTATTTTATTTATACTTCCTCCATTTCTATTTGGTTAACGCATTTGATTTAGACACATATGTTAAGGAGAGGAGAGAGAGTGAGAGAGAATAAAAAAGCAAGTGGGGTAGCTTGTAAATACAAGGTAAAAAATTTACCCCGAAAGGAAACGTGTCAACTAAAAAGAAACGGAGGTAGTATATATTTTAAATCAAGCATTTTCTTACATTAATTAATCAACCTAATCACCACACACATATTATATCTTTCACATCCAAAAGTTTACTCGTTGAAAAATCTGCAAAGCCACTAATGTTTATGCTTAGTATAATTTAATGTGAGACTCTAAATATTCTTCTTTTCTTATTTTACATGATTGATTCCATATGAAACTATTGTATAAAAACGGAAGTGTTATCAATTACAAGCATCAATTATGTTAGTATTTCACTTGTTTCATAATGTGCAGAGGAAACTCGTTCATCTGATGCGCCACTTGAAGGGTATGGAAACGACGATGCATACCGACAAAAGACTATTAATTGGAGTGATAATATGCACCTCCTACTTTTTCCATTGCCTAAATGCAACTTTGAACTTTGGCCTAAAAAACCTTCCAATTTCAGGTCCATCCATTTCCCTTTATTTGTCCTGTTTGGAAATTTGAGTAATTTCAATAAAGATAAAATCTAATATTGTAAGCATAAATATATAAATTAATATAAAATTATGTAAAAAGAATTTTAATTTTTCACAATTTTTAATTTTCAAATGCTTTGTGCGTTTTCTAATTTTTATATACAAACTAGATGAAACTCATGTGATTCACATTTATTTCTATTCTTAAAACAAATAATTTTTGTATTTATGTGATAAAATTTGTTATTTTATTCGTTGTCGGTAGTATATCATTAAATATTTTATTTTAAAATAAATTGTGAATATATAAAATTCCTAATTTCAAAAATAATATATTATATTTAATTAATTTAAATTTTAGAATCTCATTCGCCAATTTTTCTTATATGGCATTTGAATTCTTTTATTATATAAATAATTCACAAATCTCTTACTTGATTGGCTGTGACTAAAATTTATTATCCTACATGATGTGTTAAAAAGTTTTTGTCCTACATGGCTCTCTAAAACTTAGGAAAAAACTCCCCTTTATTTATATAATAATAGATGAAGCCCGTGCAATGCACGATTTATTTATAGTTTTTAAAACGAATATTTTTTGTATTTATGTGATGAAATTTATTTTTTTATTCGTTGTTATATCAATTAATATTTTGATTTTAAAACAAATTGTGAATTTCCTCTTGTTTGTTATATACTTACCTCCGTTTTTTATTAGTTGACACGTATTCTTTTTATGGAAGTTTTTATTGTTGACATGTTTCCTTTTTGAGTAAGTTTTATACCTTGTTTTTTAAGTGTACCTCACTTGCTTTATCATACTCTCCCTCCTCTCCTTAATATGTGTGCCTAAATTGAACGTGTCAACTAAATAGAAACGAAGAAAGTATTTGGATAAAATTCCTAATCTCAAAAGATTTATTATTATATTTAATTAATATAAACTTTAAAATCTCATCCACCAATTTTGCGTGTGGTATTTGAATTTTGAATTATTTAATTCTAAAAAAATTTACAAATCTCTTATTTGATTGGTTATTACTAAAATTATAATCATGCATAGCGCATTAAGAAAATTTTATCCTATGTGGCTCTCTAAAAACTCGGAAAAAACTCTAGTTTTGTGCCTTGGCAATGCCCAGATTGTCCTAAGCGTTTCAACTTGAATGTTAATTACGATCATATAACCCCTTTTGATGATGTAAAATATTTAGACATACAATATCATATCGATTATTGAAATAATAGTGTACTTTTGTAGTTTTATTTGTAAATAAATACTCCCCCATGTTTTTTTAAGTGTTAAAGTTTGATTGGCATATAGTTTTAGGAAATATAATTGACTTAAATAAAATAAGAGGTAAGTGGAGTAGTTGGGGTATTAAAAAATTGTAAAAGAAAGATAGTGGAGTTAATTACAAATTTTTGTATGAGGCTGGACACATGGTGCGATAGGGGTTACTTGTGCGGTGTTATTATTTGTAATTTGGGGTTACTTGTAGGGTGTTACTTGTTTTGGTTAGGGTGTTACCTGTGGGTGTTACTTGTATTCTAGGGTTATTCGTAGGGTGTTACCGGTTTTGATCAGCGATTACTTGTAGGGTGTTACTTGTTTGGTGTGGGGTTACTTGTAGGGGTTACTCAGAATACAAGTAACACCTACAAGTAACTCATATAAGTAACCCCAAAATACAAGTAACTCAAAATACAAGTAACCCTTGACAAAACCAGTAACACCTTATAAGTAACCCCTGCTGCACCATGTGACCTGCCGCACTGAAAAACCTCTGAGAGATAATAATTTATTGAAAAGTAATGAATGTGAGAGGAAAGATATAATAAAAAAAAAGTAGTAGTGAGTTTGGGTGGGGACCATGAGAGGAGAGAGATATAATATTTTATTATAGCTTTTTGGCAAAAAAAAGGTAGTGTAACACTTATTAAAACATGACAGGATTTGGTAAATATAACACTTATTAAAACACAGAGGGAGTATCTTTGTTATAATTAACTTAATATTCTTTATTGCACTTAAATTATTTGTAATGAATTGAAAGTTTTTTTACCAAACTAAAATTATTTTTTTTGATTAAAACTTATTTTTTTCCTAATTTTCTATTTTTTTATTAAATCTGTTAACTATTACTAAAATAGAAAATTGCTGACATCATCTTCTCCCCAAACTGTATATGTGTGCTCTTTCTCATAAAAAAAAATCCCGCCAAATGCACTTATGATGTCATACATATTTTTTTTTTGTAGGGATTAGGTTTTTTTTTATTCTTTTTCATTTCAACTTTTGACTGTGTAAATAAATAAATAATATATATTTAACTTAAACTTCTTTGGTAATTGGTAACTACGAAGTTTTTTATTAAAAATAAATAAATAACAAGGTTTTAATGCTATTTTTTTTACTTTTTTTCTTTTTAATTTTTTACTAATTGTGTAAGCAACCTAGCTATGAAGCATGTACTAATAATATGGATGTTTGTTTTACAAAAATGAACTAATGTTGTAAGTAAGTGTTATCATTGTTTCGTATTTCCTAGGTGCTTCACTATTTTCATTTATTTAAATTAGACTTGATAGAGCATAAAAACATAATCTTGAGTTTCAACGAATCATTGGCTTAACCTTTTGGTTGAATTGGTCATATAACAAGGATTTTTAGATTACAATTATTTTTATTTTGTATTTTGAACCATTAGATGGATTATATATTAAATTCTTATGCATATGGTTTGATTAGATCATATTGACATTCAATTTTATATTTTGTTACAACTCATGTTATTTATGATGATAGATATGTTTTTATGATCTAATTTATAAGTGTATATGGGAAATAATAATAGAAATAAGCTATTTTATTTCAATATTTTTTGCAAACTGTGCATCGCAAGAGTCTAATCTAGTGAAATATTAGAAGTATATCGATAATAAAACACTATACAACATTTTTATATTAAAAAAATCTATCAAAATTTTCCTACTTAGCATCCTATGTTTTACAATAATACCTATTTAATTTGTCACTTACGTGGCTTGACACTTGGTATTGTCTCCTGGCCTGGTTGCGAGACTGATTTTATATATTAATGATATGATATGATTAGATTTGATAATTATTAAGATTATCTTCAATTAAGTGTTTATCTATATATTAACACTCAATGAAATTAAAACTTATTATTATTTTGAAAGTAAGGGCTTGTTCGATGCATGGAATTAGCAGTAGTGAATATATTAAAGCGGTTAATGATTATCATATTTACCAAGTAGATTAAGGTTGTTTTATAAACCTTGTAAAATAAATGAGGGAGCCCCAGTTGGTCTCAGAGATAAACATTCTAATTTATCTCCTCTCACAACTTTATGTGTTGAAATCTGTGCCACTTTATTATTTTACTTTTATCATTTAAAAAATAAAAGAAAATGATTAAATTGTGAGAGGAGGTTTATTCACAACATTTATCTCAGAGAGAAACTTGAATTTACCCAAAATAAAGGTAGCCACCCCCGTCCCCAGCCGCACCCCTCCAAAGGCCCAAACCACCCCCTCCTACAACCACCCAAACTGAAAACGACTCCCGCTCTCAGCCAGCCTCGCCCCCAAAACTTGACATATTCCCTAACCCTTGCCCTCAATTGAAACCACCCTACCCCGATTTCAAGGGCAAGGGTTAGGGGTTATGTCCGATTTTAGGGGTAGGAATGGGGAGGGGGTTATTTCCGATTAGGTGGTTGGGGAAGGGGTGGTTTGGGGTTGCGACAGGAGTTGGGGGTGACGGTTGGGGCTAGAGAAGGGTGGCTGCCAATTTTTTCCTTTTTTTTTTTATATTTTTATAAATATTTTTTATTTTGAATCATTCACATGTTGACTTGTGTTAAACAACCTACAATAATAGGTTGTGACTTTTGCTGGCTGGTTTGAGATTGAAATAAGAAAACAAAAGGTGAAAATTGGAATTAGTGCAGAATTATCAATAGTTGAGATTATTCAAATTAAATCAGGCAAAGTTGGGTTTATTAATTAAAGTGCATCACGCCTCTTTACATGCTTAAAAGTCTGGCCTCTAGATCAATGTGGATGCAACACAAGTCTTAACATACCCAACGAGCAACACTATAATTGAAATCGAACTAATTTTTGTTAGTGCTTGTAGGACAATTTTAGAGAGTTATTCAACCAAATCAAAGATATTACTTGACACACTCCTAAGAGCCATGGCACGTTCCTTGAAGCTGGATGAGAACAACTTCTTTGAGCTATGGGGGAATAATAAAGAAGATACAATACTAGGAAGATTCAACTTTTATCCTCGATGCCCAATCTCGAATCGAGTTGTTGGCTTAAAACCACATGGAGATGGATCTGCCATTACCATTGTCTTGCAAGACAATGAGATTGAAGGGCTTCAAGTTTTTAAAGATAGTAAGTGGTTTAGGGTTCCTATCATCTCTGAAGCTATCTTACTCTTTGTTGGAGATCAAATGGAGGTAATTAACATCCGTTACTCCCTTCATCTCTTAAAGTTTACACCTCAACTTTCTACTTTATTGTATGTTTTATTCGTATTAAATGGGTAGCTAAGCTAGATTTGTTGTTTAGTAATTCATAAGAGAAAAAATCTTATAAAAATGAACCACAAATAAATTTTTCGAATATATTTTAAAATATGGGGATTTTCTAAATTATTTGAACATTATTCATTGATCTTTCTCAAAATTGTATTGTGACACGTTTAATTAAACGGAATAACAGAATAAGACACAATTGATTAAACAGATCGGGTTTGTGTTGATTGAGATTTCCAACACGAGATTAATACGATTCAACTCACCAAAAAAAACTACTTCATAATATTATGGATTTAATGTTAGATATGTTGTTAAACTAGACTTACACTTTTTTCAAATAACTTAACACGGCTACATGACATGAACTAGACATGAAAAAAGCGATTAGTGTTGAGGGTTTATGACATTTTTAATTAAAAGTGTTAACACAACATGACAATTTTTTATTATATGGGTTGGATTAGTGTTGAGGTTGTTGCCAAACCATTTAACTTCAAAAACAAATTCGAGCATTACACGATATGACATATTTTACGTAAAACTGAAACTTATATGCATTTGTGCAGATAACGAGTAATGGCATATTCAAGAGCCCAATAAAGTTGTTATCAGCCCATATTATGATCGGGGTATCATTAGCCATGTTTTGCATTCCAAACCCAGAAAAAGAAATTGGGCCTCTAAAGGAACCAATAAACGAAGATAGGCCCCAATCTTACAAAAGGCTCAAGGATTATGGTAAAATCTTCTTCCAATACTACCCTGAAAATGATGCTGATAGGTTGATCCACACAGTAAAGATCAACTATTAATTTGGTATTGATTCCAAGCTCTGTTCATGATGATTTAGACTATTTTCTACACATTATGAGTGTAGTAAGTCTTTGTTTTTGTGTATCCCTCTCTTTGTTCATTCTCAAGGAATCTTATGTAATTGGTTCGTTAATGGGGAATCTTGCGGTGACTGGTTCGTTGATGGGGATTCATGGCTTCGTGCGGGGTGCAACAATAATGTATCCGAAAAGGATGTATCATACTATCATGTATGTACGTATGAAAGATTGAAAGTCATACTTCTTTGCAAGATCTGTACAACAATAATGCTTGTTTTTATGAAGAAAACCTACTTTGATTTTTTTCGTTATACTTGTACAAGTGTTTATTTGCTAATTGTTATTAGATTTTTGGTTTTAATTTCGTTATAGAAGTCATATGACATTTAAGCTGTTTAACCTTATTAATTACTAAAAAAACGCGATCAAATTAAAGTTGATACATATAGTGTATAATTTAAAGTATTGTGATGCTTAAATGGAAAAAAAGGAGCCAATATACAGATAATGTTGTAGTAAAATTGTCAAATCGGATGTGCAGATCGGACTTTGACCATAGTCTGGGTAGGATCGTACTAGTTTGTTTTACTCCATCACTAGTTTGTTTTACTCCAACCAATTAACATCTATGATGAAGCAATGATATTTTCTACCATTATAATTGATAAATATCTATAATTTCCCTTCATAGTATATTATTGAAAAGAAAGATACAAAGACCAAAGGTGCAAAATATTATACAAATCATCCATTACTAATAACAAGAGTAAGTAATACAGGCTAAGAGCTCGTCATGCATACTTACAATATTTAAACCTTAAAATCTCCAATCCATTTACATCTTTTCCCAACACAAATATGACTGATTATTCACATTAATTATTGATTATACTCATCAATAACAAATCTAAATAAAACAACTAAAATAAAAAGCGAGCCAAAACACCAGTTACATTTCACATATACATTTCTATTTTTCAAATTCTTGGATTGATGGCTCTTAAGAGCAACGGTAGAGAGAGTAACCAGTAACCAGCAATACAGAGAAAAACTGTACGTAGTGACCACTACTAAAATTCGGTCGTTTTGCGACCGTTTTTCTACGACCGTCATAGAAACGGTCGTAAAATATGATATTTGCGACCGTTTTTTACACGGTCGCAATATTGCGACCGTTTTTTAAGCGGTCGCAAAGGTATTTAAATATATTTTAAAAATTAAATACATGTGAAAAATAATTCAAAATTAAATTAATTTGGTTGCGACCGTTAGTAGAGGTCGCAAAATGTGACAATTAAGACCGTTTCTCATACGGATGCAAAATTACGACCGCTAATACCGGTCGCAAAAGTTTTTTTTTTATTTTTAAAAAAGGTATAAAAGAGCTCCACTACTAACCCTAATATGTTGATAGCCGCTCACCCTTTCTCACAATCTCATGTTCCTCCTCTTTCTTCTCTCTCCTTTCTCTTTCTACTTTTTCCTTTCTAACAATCTCACGTTCCTCTTCCTTCTCTTTCTTTCCTCCTTTTCTTTCCTCCCTCCTGCTTCTTTCCTTCCTCTTTCTTTTCTTTCTTCTCATATCTCTGTTTGCATCGATCTCACGACCCTCCTTTTTTTTATCTTTTTTTTTTCTTCATTCTTTTCAGATCTTGAGTTTTGGTGTTTGGATTTTTTTGTCAACAAACAAGTTATGGAAAAGGGTTTATCTTCAACAAACGACTTATGGGTTTCATGGTCAAATTCGCCCATAAAAATTCCAGATCTGGAGTTCTTATGGTCGAATTTGACCATATAAACCCAAAGAGGAAGAAATATTGGGAAAGGTATGTTGGTTATTCTAGAGTTTTTGTTTGTTTTTGTTTATTTTTCTATTTTTGTGGTGTTGTTTCTTTTTTAATCTATTTTTGTGATTTGGGTTTAATTATGATTTTTTGTTAATTTTGTTCGAATTTTTATGAATTTTGTACATATATTATTCGAATTTCTTTGATTTGGGTTTGATTATTATTTTTGTTAATTTTGTTCGATTTTCATGAATTTTGTTCATATATTGTTCGAATTTCGTTGATATTGGGTTTGATTTTCAATTTCATTAATGTTCAAATTTTGTTGATTTTGATTTTAGTTTTTGTATACTTTGTAAAAAATTTCATATTTTGTTGATTTTTTTTTCGTTAATTTTGTTTGATTTTCATTAAATTTTTGGAGTTTGATAATTCTGTGGCGGCGGTGGTGGGTGGTGGTGGTGGTGGAGTTGGTTTGGGTGGGTGGAAATGGTGGTGGGGCTGTGTGAAAAGTACAGGCAGGGGGCTAATTTTTTTTCTGTTTTTTTAATACATTCAGCGACCGCCAAAAGTTGTCGCTAAATTCAAGATTTGCGACCGGTACATACGGCAATCGCAATTATGAACATTTGCGACCGTTTTTTATGTGGTCGTTGAAAATAATAAAAACGGTCGCAATAAACTGCGGCTGCTATCCGGTCGCAAAAATCATTTTTAGCGACTAAGTGAATAACGACTTACTATTACGACCATCAACGGTTGGAATTCGTTTTAGCGACCGTTTTTGCTATTATATGCGACCATTAGAGGCGGTCACAATTTGGCCGAATTTTAGTAGTGAACAAATGATGCCACCACTGCTCAGTTAGACCTTTGCCAAAAAACTATCAAAATGTTGGCAAATTGTAATTCAGTTTGGGTTTATGTTCCCTTTGTGAGCCAAGAATAGATAGTCAAATTCATCGCAATCTACACATACATAATATCAACTTCCAGGATTACAATCACCGTTATGGAATACTAAAAATATATATTGAATAGGGTCTTTCGAGTAAGTTGTTCCCATATACATACTCCATGCATATATATATATATATAGGTTTTTCTATGTGTTGTGACTAGAACAGGTGAAGTAGACTTGGAAGTGGAAGAGTAGTGTTTCGGGGTTTTCTGATGTCCTACGGGAGAGTTACAATTCCGAGACTGGAACCGGACGCCTGTACCTGCAAAATAACGGAGACTCCTGGTGGTGGGAGCTCCGCCTCCAACGGTCAAGTTAGTACTTGATTAAGGAGTAATTAATGCGGAAATTAAAGTGATTGGGTCTCTCTAGGTGAGAGTGTTTAATGTAGGTAATCTGCTTTGTTAGCGAGATTAGCCGGTTATTACTGTGTGTAATTAATGTGTTTTTTCATAATCCCCCTTAATGAGGATTAAGGGAGGTATTTATAACCTTGGGAAACGTGCCCATCCTAGGTTTAGGTTAACCTAGGGCTGATTGGGCTTCCCTCGGAAGTTGGGCCTGGGTGGCCGGTTTCTCCATTAGGCATGGAGTATGCCACATGTCATGACATAATAGGTCCAAGGTGGACGAATAAGCGCGTGCCACGTGGCAAGCCCTGACAATTCCAACTGGGGGACACTTGGCAGGACCTGATTGGCCCACGTGGCGCATTCCGATTGGTGGGAGCAAAATCCCCTAATCATTTGCCCCTCACAGGTGGCACGTGACTGGTCACGTGTTACATGTGACAGGTGTCGTACTGTAACAGGCGACGACCTTCTACAGGTGTCAGTCGGCGAAAGGCCGAGAGATTTTCCCGCCCAAATTTTGAATTCTGAAAGTGACCCTTCGCCTTCTCACTTCGCCTATATAAGGGAGGATTGTCTTGAGTCATTTTCACACTTGAGAACTTTGAGAGAGAACATTCGGACCCCTGAACTTGCTCTGACATTTTGGACCTTTTCTGCCTACCGCCTGTTCTGACAAGCCGACTGCACAGGATTTTCAGCACTTCATCAATCGTCACTCGTTCAGGTAACTGTCGGTTCTCTTACTCTTAATTTTCTTTTTATTTTTTGAAATGGCACCACGGAAGCACACGACACGACCTAGGTTAGTGATCAGCCGGTCACCGGGGACGGCTGAATCTAGGACTAGGAGTGCCGCCTGCCCTTTCCCGGACCCATCTTTGCCCTTTATACAAAGTCCGACTGTATCTGTGTCTATGCAGAGCAGGATGGCCAGAACGAAAAAGACTGCTAGGATCTCAAATTCAGACGGCTCCTCCCACAGGGTGCCGCTTAGTGAAACATCTGACCAGGCGCCAGATGTGGAAGTGAAACAAGGCGGCCTGAAAGCCGGCAATTCTGTGGGAGGAGTCATAGTGACCCCTTCCCATTTAACAGTTAACAATTCTGCTCCTTTTCAAAGAGAGGAGGCGGGCCCCTCCGGGAGAGGGGAGGAGTCGTCCTCTTCGGACTCGTCAGAGGACGATTCCGAGTCAAGCTCTTCTGGCCATGCTTCTTTGGACACAGAAGAGAAAAACAGCCGCCTGCAAGAGGCGAGACTTTCTCACGCAGTTGAGAAGGGGGACAATTGGGCGGAGCCATCCGCCTCTTACCGAGAGCAAAATACCCCCTACTACTGCACGGTACCTCGGGGCCGGATCACAGCCATGCAAGAGAAAGTGGAGAGCTTTATTGCAAACCACACCATGGGCCCCGACTTTCTAGTGTTTGTGCCGGATCCAGAAGACACAGTCGTCTGGCCGGCTGGTACCAGTTATGATAGCGCCTGCTTTGGCTGCTACGAGGCGGCCATCAAGGCAGGGCTGCGCTTCCCATTACATCCGGCTGTTCAGCGGATCTTGGATGGGTATGAGTTGGGGTTATGGCAGTTAGCCCCAAACTTCTGGGTCAACGTACTCGGCTATGTGGCCGGGTGCGAACTGCACGGGGTGGAGCCGAGCTTCGAGGCTTTCGCCCATATGAACTATCTCAGCCGGACCCCTAAGGCAGGCGGTACCGGCTGGTATCAATTGACAAGCCACAGGGGCTACCTCATGACGAGAGGTAAAGCAAACAAGTGGAAGGACTGGCGGAGCACCTTCCTCATCATTGAGAGTTCAGACACTGAGCTGAACAAGCGCTTCAATAGGTGGAACATGAATCCGCCCCTTCTTGCAGGCG